TTTTTCGTATACAATTAATTACTAATAATGAGGAATCTAGGCCACATTCATAGACTCCTTTATTATGTTTAAAAACACTTAGAAGAGGATATTGTACAATTTCAAAGGATGCTTAAAGCAAGCAAATCGAATAAGTAAATCAAATTTATACTTAAATGGAAAACTATTAGTGGGATTGAAGAACGTGCCAAACCAACCTTTAAATTGAATTTCCGACTGAATTTAAACTTGAACAAATTACGGGTCAAGTGGGTGAAATGTGGAGGTTTCAGAAATTTTATTGTATCTAAGCATTATAATTATCTTATTTATAAGATCATACAAATATTATATACTATTAAATAGGTACATGTTACAGGGATTGTATGGACGCGATTTTTAACTTTTTATTGTTTTAAAAAAATGACATCATGTTATGCTTTTTTAAAACCTTTATGGAAATGTGAAAAATTAATTTTTTCGAAAGATCCTATTTTCAAAAGTGGAAGAGAATTCGTAAAAAAAATATTATATAATCAGTACTCAGAAACATTTGCTAATAAGGTCATTGAAAACATAAAAAAAATAATTAAGACAACAAAATTTTATACATACAATAAAAATACAATATATATTTAAAACTTATCTAAAAAATTAAAAAGTGTTTCTTTCACACTGATTAATTTGGTTTTCAATATTGGTGTATTATTGGATAAAAACAGACAACCAAGAGTATTTTATTTCCTTGTGAAATTCTATACAAATACGTTTAGGCCTCATTGATGTTATCTTTCATCTAATTACTAGTATATTGTCTTTTAATCAGCTGTGTTAATGGCGAAGCGGATGCTAAAATAACTATTAATTTCTATATGAAAGAGAATTCCGAATAACGATAATTACCTCCGTGTTTACTATTTACGCTGTGCAGATGATGATTCTTTTAATTACAGTGTCAGTTTTCATGAGTAGGTAAAAACAAGAAAGATTTTTATTATTATTAAATAAGCTAATTAATAAAAAGTTGTCAGAATTTCAATGATCCATGTACTTTCCATAAACTATAGAAATTAGTACTAGAAGTATGCGGAGTGCATTCATTAAAAAATGTTTGTTCACAAGAACTACATGGATTTGTTTTTCTCCATGGCCAGATACATAAAATAATGGCTTCAGATTGTGTTTCATAGTGCATTTGATTTTAATCATGATCTACTTCATCTTTGTTTTATTTAGGAAATAGTGATATAACTAACTTTATTCTTTTTGAAGTAAATATGACAAATTATATATTTTTGGGAAGTGCAAAATAACCCTTATTCTTTATTTAGTAAAAAATTTAACTAATTGCGTTACCGGATTCTACCTTAAAAATGTATAAGTTAGGGTACCAATATTAGGGAAAGCTACAAAAATCACCCACACAATCATTCCGAATATTTCGGCTATAATTCCGAAATTGAGAAATATTTCGAACATTTATCCTGTTTCTAGTTTGATAACACAGGCCCAAAACAAAAAACAGTTCTATAGCAGAGACATGAGTACATAGATTTTGTGTATTTTTTTAGGCTGAATATGAATTCGCAGTCCACCTGATTTTCCATTTCATTTTTTAGTAAAACGCTAAAACATCCCTTAAAATAAGTAGCAGTGTAAGTAAGCTTTATAATGATATATAATCTTGTATTTTATACTACCAAATATTTAAATGTAGGTTGATAGACAATATACCACAAAAGTGTAATAGATATAATTTATCCCTCAAAGGGTTGGAAACCATCTGTAGACCAGGGTCCCACTTACCTCTTTAAGTCACACATTTTTCTATTCAATATTCTTGTCTGAATTTTATTATCGCTAGTTTTTGGGGTCTCGTTACTACGTGATTTTCAAAGTCGACAATCAGGAATATAGGTAAGGTTTTAATTCGGAAACTCTTAAATCAGGATGGCGGACACATTATGACTGAAAAGTAGGTATCATAGAAATTAATATTTACTTACCACCCAAAGAAATGTCCTGATTTGCGGGTGGTTTCTAATCCTTTGGGGGATAAGTTATATTGTTGTTGATGTTGTTGATCTACCTACATTCATATATTTGGAAGTATAAAATACAAGACTATGGTTTTTCACATATTCGTTATTTGATCTTAGGTATATAATTAACCCCCTCGTACATTTCTTTCCAGTGCTCAAGATATTATTTTAAAATGATTTCCCAAATTATTTCAAAATGTTTGCTCTTATGTAATTATAAACGTTTACTCCTCACTATTTCATCCTATTTTAGGGGACATTTTAACGTTTTGTTAAAAAATTACTTGGTAAATCGAAACACGTACACATGTTTCTGGTAAGGCACTTTCTTTATGTGGGGCTGTGTAATCGAAATACATTAGATATCGCCAACGGGATACCCTATACTGTTCACTATGAAACACCTTGTATAAGCTCTTGACCTCTCCAACAAAATATTTTTTTGTAGGAATTTTATCACGTATCGAATTAACTTTAACAAAATATACTGTTTTTATAATGGCATTTTAATTTAACATTCAATTTACACTATTGGAAATAATTGCCAAGGCTTGCAGCAGAAATAATTACTTGGAAAATTGGGTTACAGCAAGCGACATTTTTTAGAGCTACTTACAGCATAACACGATTTCTAATTGTTGAATCACGATACGATACGTTGGGTTGCATAAAATTTATTTAAATTAACGCAATATTTTTATTAAACTATTTATTTTATATGTGCTTTATGAAGAGTGAAATAATTTTGAAAACATTTTGTTTATCATTTTCAATCATAAATTACGAAGTACATTCTTATTTTTTTGTGACGGTGGTACATATTATTTTAAAGTTTTTAAAACTTTGGATATAAAATTAATATAAAAGTAGGTAATATACAGAGTTTTTTTACAGTAAGTGGCAATAAAACGGTTTGGAGAAACCAAATATAATTTGACTCTAAAATTTTGTTTACGGGGGTTATCAGATATGCTCTCTTCAATGAAAATAAGTCATCAATGTAGCACGTCCGGTTATACCGGAAGAAGCTGCCAACTTCGTTATTTTAAATCGAACACCCTATATATGATTGCATTATTGACAAGATAAAGAAAAAATAAGTCAAACATGTTAAAGCTTCTCTGTACCTAAATCTAACCGTTTTTGAGAAAATCGACACTTAAAGTAAAAGTTTTGACAGATGCAAGCGTTTCGAAAATATCTTATATCTTTCTTCGTTCTGGAAGCTTTCACTTCCTGTTCAGAACTCGCAAAGGAAATAAGATACACTACCTTCTACTATAAAAATTACCTGCAGAATATTATACTAAGTGTCCCATTTTTTACGTTACATTTTGAAAACTTGAAATCGAAAAAACTTTTTAAATTCAAATGGAACGCCCTATATTTTTTGCACCATGTTATGGAAAATCAAATTATCTTTTCACCGATATTGTAAGGGTTATAGTTCCAATTTTCTCAGATATTTGATTTAAAACATTCTCAAGAATATTACGAGTGCATGTTCTTTGAGTGTTCTGAAAAGAAAGTGGAAGCTCTCAGAACGAGGAAAGATATAAGGAATTTTCGAAACGCTTGCATCTGTCAAAATTGTTATAAAATGTCGATTATCTCGGTTAGGTACAGGGAAGCTTTAACATATTTGACTTATTTTTTATTTATTTTGTAGATAATGCATATAGGGTGTTCCATTTAAAATAACGAAATTGACAGTTACTTTCCGGTATAACCGGGAGTGCTATGTTGATGGCATTATTTTCACTGAATGTAGCATATCTGTTAACCCCCGTAAACAAAATTTCAGAGTCATATTATCTTTGGTTCCTCTGAATCGTTTAATAGGTCACTTACCGTGAAGAACCCTGTATAAGCCCAGTAAAATTTCAGGCCACTAAGAAAAGTTTTTTGTTAATTTAATGTTCCAAACAGCGGTACCATTTTTCTAAATATATTGCTGATTTATTTTACTGAATTATAGTTATTTGTGTTATGGTCTTGTTTTCTTTCAGTTGCACTTTTGAAATTCTATTAATTTCTAGTCATAAAATTGTTTACATTGCAAACGTTATGAATACAATATGAATAATTAATAATAATAAATAATTAATAATTATAATTTGGGCACCTATTGAATAATAAATAATGTTATTTTAATTTGACAGAAACTACATTTACCTGTAATTTTTTATTTATCGCATTATGGCTTTTATAAACAGATGGTAGGTTTTACTATTTTTGAAATAATAGCAATATTTTATAGAATTATATCGTATCTGAAAAATTAAGTGTTTAACTGTAATTATTACACGTTTTTATTATGTATCTATTTTTTTGGTAACTAAATACAATTAAGTATACGACTTTTTTATTACAAATTAATATCTCGTAGTTACACAACCTTCACTAAACTTGACTGGTTTTAGAAAAGAACCAGAAATAATTAAATAAAAAATGTATTTAAGAATTCCTTTTGAAATGTTAAAGTAGCTGCACCATAAAATATTTTTAATTGAATAAGTATATCGTTAGTTTTTTTTACACCAACTTACAGCGATTGTTTAGTTGTCCTTTCATTTTAATCTAGTTTCACTAATTATTATTATTCTCTAAGACAACGCGAAACAGTCAAAGAAGGAAGAACATATTTAGAGGTCAAGTAAAGAAAATATTATGGGACGAATGTTGTATCCAACATATGTTTCAAATTTGAAAAATACTCGTATATCTGTTTATTCAAAAATATTTACAGTAAATAAATACTGTCCTTGATAATAATGCATTTGTTTCAAACCGTAAAATAATTCAGTATTGTAATTGTATGACTGTTAAATATCTAAATTGATAAATTATTTCTTAATAGAAATTTTCGCGCATGTTTCTAATTTGGTACCATTTAAAATAATAACGCAAATTAATCCTTAAACACCGTCTTCATATACAGAAAGAACTGATAAAAAATTCCATTCAGTTGTACCATACGTTTAAATCACTAGATCACTCGAACTCACAACACTGATAACACAATAGATTTAACTTGACTGTCTCTTAACCAGTTTTAACAGAGTCTGCAACTATACTAAAATCCAGTTCTTGTTCGGCTTGCCAACAGTAACTATCACTTTCACGGGACAAGGTGGTAGCGTAATTGAAATCCAGATGCAAAAAACTACAGAATAAGTCACCGTTGATCGGCTCTATCGGTCACACTATTTAAATATTTTCGCTGTTGTACCTTGTCGACACTGTTAGACACAAAAATGAATAATTGCTTCTTGGATACTTCTTTATGTAGGTTTACGGTCTGCTGGTATGGCTGGGAAGGTAGCGGGGTAAGCACGAGAAGTGATCAAGGCATTAAATTACATTGCATGTAACCGAAACAGTCTCGAATAAGTCCACTGAAAGTGACTGCAGAGTCCTGAAAATAGGTTATTCCGTCAAGTGTAAACATAATTCATTTATTGAATTTAATTGTACAACTTAAGAATGGATTCTCCAAATTTTTGCTATCGTGTATTGACCCGTGACTTGTTAGCTGTTGTGCCAAACATACCCATGAATGTAGGACACAGACAAGCAAACGTTTCTAGAATACGCTTATATTTATACATTATGTGTGACAGACTTGTTTGCATAAATTATGGGTCGTAAAATTCAGTTGGTCGAGAAATTCTCTTTAATATTACCTATTCTATGTACAGGGTGTTTCTAAAATAGGGTTCCAAACTTCTGCTGCGTTTATAACTCATTAAAATAAGCCAAAAAGTTCCTATTAACATGTGCCATTAAACTCACCCTTAGGAAGTTATCCTTAAAAGGGCTCAAACAAAACTGTTTTTTTTCTGTTATTGACAAAACGGTCGCAAATAAATAGAAAAAAACATGTTTGGGTCTTACATAACTTTTTACGTTAAATAACGGGCTACTCCGTTTTTCGACATGCAAATCATATGCGTCCCATTTAGGTTGGTGAAGGGGGTTTTCGGCCCGTAATTTTTTTTAATTCAATTTTTTTACAATTTTCTCTACAGATTTATAAAATCTTTTACGTAAAAAATATTGTCTTTGTCCAAATCGATATTTCCAATGGTTTTCGAGTAAATTGAGTTTGAAAATTACTCTGCTCTTTAATTAAGTTATTAGAAAGTTTGGAACCCTATTTTAGAAACACTGTATAAAGAATACATGGTGTCACGCAACGAATGTTACATACTTCAAGGGTATAATTTAGAACTCAAATGGTGTCGATTTAACCAAACTTGCTTAACGAAAAATGCCGCAAAAAAAAGTTACAGGATGTTAAAATTTCTTCTTTTATTTCTTATTTTCTCCTTAACTAAGAACCCAGTTAACCGATTTAAGCAAAATTTGCTGTTGCTTAGTTTCTTTTCATGAAATATGCAGTGATAGTGTTCCTATTAGGTTAAATCATACAGGGCGTTCATTTTATTGCGACCCTTTGTGAATATTCTACAGTAACTTTTTTGTATGTTTAAATTTTTACACACAGCTGTTAGAAATAGGTAGATAATTTTATTCTACACAAAAAATGTGTACCTATCAAAAGTCGAAATTATGCTCGGTTATGAAGATATTACAGAAAATAATTATTAACACATATCTCATATTTTTTAAAATAACTACGTATCCATAACAGCATGACAAATTCGATGTCACTGGGGCTCTCGAAGAAGTAGGTACCTACCAATTAATACTATGATAAATGTTTACGCACGATGGTGCCCTTGCTCATTACAGCCATTTGGTGAGAAAACATTTCCAAACCGTTGGATTGGTCGAGGTAGTGACTTTCTTTCAATTTCAGTCTCATATTCACACAGCAAAAACATAACAATATACATACATTAGCGAAGCATATCCTTGATCTTTGTGGGGCAAGGCAACACAACATTGATGTAGTAGAAATCTGGCAACAACGCAGTTATGTTGTCTTTTTACCCCCAGTCAGTCAAAAAATCCTTCGCCATTCAAGGAAAAATATGGTGCATAAGGGCATGATCAATTAAATTTTCCTTTAGGAAAAAAGTAAATATCAGATTTTCTTTGCTCTATTAACGAAAATATTAACATTTTTTAAATATTTTTATACGAACCTAGATAAATAAATTTGATTTATATATCAAATTTACAATTTTTGCTACTTTTTTGGGGTCGCTGAATCCGAATCTGATGTACGTTTGACTCAATCAGTTCTGGGTTGAGGTCAGATCAAGGTCAAATGTGGAGAATCAATTGAAAACAAAGTAAACGTACATATCTATACGTTTTGGGGGTCATTGAATCCGAATCTGTCCGCTTGAAGCGATCAGGTCTATTAAATACTTTCTAATAGACAAATATTTTGTTTTAAACCTAAGTGAAAAATTTGATTGGGTTTGAGCAGAGAGAAAGGTTTCACCATGATATTAAAGCAGGGAGAAATTTGGGTGGCAATAAAACTATCACTGATATTGATATTGCTAGTGATACTAGTGGTGACGAATATACTCCATATCACGTTGTGAAAAAGACAGGAACAATATAAAAAAAAGTAAATGATGTTCGAGATTTGGGCCTGGCAGAGAATGGAGCAGAGTTCCTAATATCATGGCTAAAAAAAATACTAAGCAAGTCGGAAAAGTGAAAGCTTTTTGCTATCAGTACAGAAATAAGGAATATTTTTCTAACGATGAAAAATTTTCCTTAGGTTACTACAATGATATTGTTGGATGAATCACTTCAAACATGGGTGTTATAAACCTAACGCACATTGAAACAAGAGTGCCATAATTTGAAAATAGGATCAAATACGAACAACAAAAATGGCTTTACATTTGACCTTGAACTGAATTTAAACCAGATCTGATCGAGTCGATTCGGATTCGGCGACTCTAAAAACATATAGATACGTAGGTTTAGTTTGTTGACAACTTATTTTCTACATTTGACCTTGAACTGGCCTTAAACCAGAGCTAATCGCGTCAAGCGGACACCGAATTCGGATTCGGCGACCCCAAAAACGTATACACAGGTTTAGTTTGTTGACAATTGATTTTCTACATTTGACCTTGAACTAACCTTAAACCAGAGCTAATCGTGTCAAACGGATACCGGATTCGGATTCAGCGACCCCAAAACCATATGGATACCATGGTCTTGTCTTTCGAACCTGCCACTTTTTTTTCGTGGGGCTGTGTAATAATAGGTAACACATCATCGTTGAACTTAACTTAAGGTTTGATTTAATTATACAGGGTTGTTCTAAATTGTCTTCCGTTATTTTTTGGAGAACTAAGTACGTTACAAAATTAGGGTACTCTTTTATACATTTTTTTTTTCAAAAGTGCTTAATGAAGAAGATGTATCAATTTAAAGGGGACAGTAGATTTTTAAAATATTACCTCTAGATGCATCACAATATTTTTTATTTTTATCGCATTTTAAAAATTTTTTGAAAAGTATTTAGGTCTAAACGAATAAAAGAAATAAATATCGTTGTTTAATCTTGGTAAAATTCCATGCCATCAATCGCGTATGCTTTGAACTATCCATTTCAAACAATTTTCTATCCCAATAAAAATCCCTAAATTAATCTTCGAATGCTCTAAGTTTAAGTTTAAAATATAAATATTAAGATATCTCGAAAAAGTTTTAAGAGCGCAAAAAACATCTACTATAACTTCTTTAAAGGGGCATATCAGACTTGGCTTTGAGGATTTTTTCTAGTTACCGTTTAGAATCACGGTTATCTATAATATTTAAATCATATAATAAAAATTATAGATATTTTATTGCCTATGATGTTTACTTTTGTTATAAATTTGTAAAATTGTGCAAATTACTTTTCAATACTTAAGATTTCTAGAATTATTACTATAATATTGAAATTGTTACCATTAAAATAAAGTACCTTTCGTTCTTTATCCCAAGTTAATAATTTATAAAACTAAATACATTTTATGATTTTTTAAGAAAAATTTGTTGTAAATAATTAAAAACAGATTCAAATAACATTCAGTTATAAACAGGAACAGGAAAATATTTGAAAAGTCAGGGTATACTATGAGGCTATTTGCCAAGCAGAGCATTATTATTTCGTATAACTTTTCCTGGATGTTTTTTTATACATATAATAACGGTGACTTGGACCCGATATGAAATTTACCACTTTTGTTTCGAATGTTTGCTTGTTATACTTATTTTATACCCTTTCAGTCAGCATTTAGTCTTTTAGTTAAAATATACCTGAATTTCCAAATCGATTCACGGTTTACGAGAGGCTATCTGTTTGTTTTCTCCTCCGGTTTCCATTCCTTTGATAGCTCTCGAACGGTACGTTGTGTATTGTTCGAGTGCTATATAAAGAAAGGGGATAACACACACTCCTAAAAGATTAATTATACTAAAAAACCATCCTAGTTTCATTAAAGTGCCATCAATAGCCTTTTATTAAAAAGAACGCAGTGATGAACTTTTTATTGATAGTATAAATACTTCGCTTAGACTCATCCGAACGTGCACAATAAATACCTTCGAAATATTGATAACTGCTTCTTTCCACGTATAATTAATAGCTTTTAGTTACAAAAAAAAAGTTAAATTTAAAATAAATATGCATGATATTTGAATAGAAAACTTGTTTGAAACAGGTGACTTTATTGTGGTATTTACGCGTATCATAATTTATCTAGTTTTGCAGTTTGGTCTGAACGGAGATCAACTATGCAATATTGCCGGTATTAAATAGAGCTTTCAAACTTTTCGTATGAGTTGGAAAGAAAATAAAAATGTTTATGGCCTTCTCCCCTCCCCACTAACTATTTCTATGTACATATAAATATTGAGCTTTTACTGACAGATGAAACACCTTACAAAATGTTTACACCAAAACCAAATATATTCAATTAGCCACATTCCCTTGATATTTCTTACAAAAGTTTAACAAATCCGCTAAATTTACACAATGGTTTTTGGTGTATTTATGAACTTATCAGCTTTTGAAAGCATAAAACAGATCTAATCACAATTATCCCTTTTTTTGTGCACTTTCACTGCACAGAAAT